GTAGTGGCAGCCTTCATTCCCCTCCTAGCTGAGGAAAGGATGGCTTTGGTATTTCCCAGCTCTGCGGGCCTCTGGGATGGGAGCCCTCCCACGAGAGCTAGTCAGGCAGAGTGTTGAGGGAAGCTCTGGTTGACCTCAGTCAGGACTCTCTTGGCTTCCCAGGGTAAAAAGGGAAAGCCAAATTAACATCTTGCCCTAATGAGTTATTTTGTACTCATCAGCTGCAGAAAAATCCAGTTTTATCACCACTGCTGAGAAGGCTTGCAGTGGCTTGAGGATTATAGAACATGATGGCTCCCACCCAGAGCAGCATTCCAGTTGTATATTATCTGTTCATGTGGATACACTAGGAAAGTTACCAAAAAAATAAATCCATCACCAGACAAAACGGTCATTTTGTACTAAAGATCGACACTTTTCCAACTCTCACCAGCCAGTGATGTTTGTGCTTGTGTCAATACAAGTCCCATGTAGGTAGTGAGGTCCAGGATTTGCACAAGCGAATTCACGTACCTCCTAAGAGAGGACAAAATTCAGGGTACAACCTCAGCTCTTCTCTCCTGTACTCCTTTTTTCCTGGCCACGGCTTAGCTGAAGACTGAATATGTAAGATTTATCTCGATGTGATTCCAGGGACTGATCTGGAATTAATTTGACCCAGTAAGTCTCTTTGATTGCATCAGGTCTTTCAGAAGTTTAGAACAACAAGGATCTAAACAGCAGGCAGTAATCTGCACAAAAACAATCTCTGCAGTTTAGGGATAAGTCTCTTTGATTGCATCAGGTCTTTCAGAAGTTTAGAACAACAAGGATCTAAACAGCAGGCAGTAATCTGCACAAAAACAATCTCTGCAGTTTAGGGAATTTTAAAGGTCTGTGTCTCTTTTTTCTTTTTTTTTTTTTTTGGTTTCAAATGCTTTCCAACTGAGCAATGCTGCAGTGGGTTCATGGGAGAAGGCCTTGAGGCACCCCTGACTTTGGCACCATTATCCCATAGACACTCCATACATTTTTGGCACCTTACAGCAGACACATTGACAGCTACAGGACTGATGGAAAGGGAAAGAAGCTGTTTTGCAGTCCAAAGAGAATGTACTCAGATTTCTAAGGCCGTTTGAAAAAATGCCAGAATGATACTTGATTTCGGCATTCTTAAGCTCCTTTAAGATGATGCAGCAAGTGGTCTTTTCCACATGTGATGATGTATTTTAGGACAAGAGTTTCTTCAAGATTTTCCAAGCCTGTGGGCTCCTCATCCTTTTTCAAATTACAGAGATGATAGCATACCGGGGAGAATTGTGATTAGTCTAAACTCTCCACAGCTGCAAGAGATGAATGCAAAAATTCCACCAAAAAATCCGCTTCTTCTGGATTGAATTTACCTACATGACACCGAGTCCTAACCAAGGGACCACTTAAAAGAGCTGGAGCAGCATCAACACTATTTGATTTCTTCCATCACATCAACCCAGGGAAGGCTCACAAGAGCTTTGCCCAACACATCTCCCAGCAGCGCTGTCATTATACGGGCTGTGGTATTAACGGAGGCCCGAGATGAGCGGGGAGGAAAAAGGAACGATGAAATAAAGCCTCAAGTACGAGGGAATTCAAACAGGGCTTGCAACTCATTACTGGGAATGCCAGGAGGATTGTAAAACACCTTGTAACCGAGAGGCTTTGCTGGGAGCTGTTAAGGACTGCAGCCCCCACTTCATCACCGGCTGACAAGCTTGAACGGTCTTGGCAAGGGGGCGAGCACTGAGCTCCTTGTCAGCTGACTGCAGGAGATGGCAATGTTTTATTTTACTTAACAGGACCTTTCTCTTTCTAAATTGCTTCCTTGAGTTTCCAATCAAACATAATAATCTACAGCATTCACCTCCAGCATTTTTCTTAAAGCGTCAGCGTTGACAAACTTGGCTGCGCGCCCACCTCGAAACATTTGACCTTCCACTTGTCTTTGAAGACAGAGGAGGCCAGAGCACATGTTGGGAGACCAGTGACTGGCACCCACTAGGAATGCCTGGATTTATGAACAAGGCAAGAGGCAAAGTTCTGCTGTTACAGAAATTGCCTCAAAAATACTGAATAAAGTGTGTGTGTTGGGGGGGTGCCGCTTTGTC